GGCCACGAGTACTAAGGAGAGATCACACATCAGCTGCTCAAAAAATGTGTCAGTGAGACGAACTGAGCGCGAGCGCAATCCTGTGACAGTCACAGGCGGTAAATAGTGGAGCGCGTGAAGGAGAGATTCGAGGGCATGAACACTGTTCAAGGTCTCCATTAATTCGTGCTTGTAGTAATTTAATGTGTATATATTTGGAAGCATTGAATCGCTACAGAAATCACTATTCATTCGATTCTTAGCGTTTTAAATCGATTACTGTCCGAAATCGACGATTCACAATTAAAAAATCCATGTTTCAAGATCGATGCATTGCATCGTCAGGGTTTGTAATCAATGCATCGAGAAAACGAGTGAATCTTTACACCCCTATTAATAAGTCAATGTAACACTCAATCATAAAAAAAATAATCAGCATGATGTGCTCAGATTATTATTCCTACATTGACCCTTACCCTATCATTCCTACAGCACAAGACACATATAAACAGTAGATTTTGGGGTTTCATTTAGATAATTTTGTCATAATCCAGCACATTGCTCCCAACCTTTTTGAAGCGACCATGTACCTTCAAGGTTTGAGGAAGCTACTTTGAAATTGTTGTTTAATCGTCAAGCTACTTATAATTTAGAATATTTGTAGTAAAAAAGCCTGTATTGTTTTTTTGATTTGGCAAAATTGATAAACGTCAACAGGCAGGTTCTTACCAAGAGTGAGAATAAATATTTTATTCACATTCTCTTCCAGGCTACTCACTTGAGTTTTTACTTTCCTCGAAGACTGATTACAAACAGCCTGTTTGACTGGAATGAAAAAAATCAAATATATGATTTTTAAGCTTATTTATAAAACCGATTGAATGAGCCACATTTGAAACCAATGTAAAAATATCTTATATGCACACATAATCTCAAATCAGTTATGCAATATATTTATAATGGCCAATAGGTTTTATGAGCTAGATATACTTGGCAGCAGAATTATGTTGATTACTGTTAATGATTTATTGAACATTGGGGGACTTTGTTCACATTTGTAATTTTATATAATGTGTGTGTTTGTGTATATTCACTGTGCAAGTTTGTGTGTGTGTGTGTGTGTGTGTGTGTGTGTGTGTGTGTGTGTGTGTGTGTATTAGCCACGGTGGATTAAATTGATAAAAAAGTGACAGTAAGGACCTTTATAAAATGCTGTAATTATGTAATACTATAAATGCTGTATTTTTTGGTGACTTTCTATTCATCAAAGATTTCTAAAAAAAAATATTAAGCAGGACATTTGCTTATATTTTATAATATAAGCATTTTTAACTACATTTCTGATTAAATAATAATAAGAAACTACTTCTAAACTTCTTTTTAAACCCATTTTTACATCATTTAGACCAGCCAGCTTCTCATGTTTATCCAAGGCCTTTCATCTGTATGTACTAACTAGGTATGCACCGATAAGATTTTTTTGGCCGATAATGATTTTAACAAACAACTATTGGCCGATTCAGATACCGATACTGATATTGGTCAATTGCATAAAGCAGGGCTTAAAAACAAGAAAAAAAAGAGATTTGTTCACTCCGAGCAGAATCGGTATTTGAACGTTTCTGTTCCTGTGTTCCTCTGTGAAACCGGTTTGAGTAGAAAACATACCGGTTAATAACGTTATTTTTTAAACTTTTTCCTTGCCAATAATAATAAAGTACAGCGTTTAATTTACTCAAAAAAAAAAAACAAATCATGAAGAGAGTCTTGAATGATCTCTCTTAGTCCTAGCCAATACAGCATCATCTTTTCTAGATTTACCAAAGACCAAATGTATTAAACAAAAGAAAATCTGTCAACGCAATAAAAACATTAAATCATTTTTTTCCAAGATATTTAAAAATGTTTCAGCATGGATAAAAAAAACGCTACACCTATAAGCGTTTTGAGAGGGAAAAAACTGCCTAAATTAGTAGGTTGTACGTTGCATTTTATTATTACATTCAGAAATAATGTAGGCTAAAATAATACTAAATAAAAGCAAAATTACAAACACAATTAGGCTATTTTAGTTCCCTTCTCTCCACAACAAATCCTCTAAAGTTGTATTTAGGCTAAATATAAGCATCAAGCCAAAACAAATTAATTTTAAAACGAAACTGAAGCCTACCTCTCTCATTCTGCACGAATGCAAATGTTTCCATATTCGTGAAGTATCTGGATGCTAACCTATTATTTATTATGTAAACTATAGGCTTTGTTCTTCACTCGCATTAACAACGTAAAACATCATCCTTCACATATAGGCTATATCAGCAGTGAGGCGCTGGTCACACTGAACTGCACAGACTGTACTACAGACCATTTAAATTGAGCAGTGTAACTTTTTATGTTTCTTTAACTGTATTTTATTTGGATAATGAACAGGCTGCGATGTCAAATTAGCAAAAATGTGTTGTATGTGCGTGTGAGGCACCGACGCGATCACTGCATTGTTTTCCCAACTTTTACTCCGTAATTTATGGTCATACCAGCACTGGTTTGTCATACAGATAGAAGCAAAACATCATTCAAATCTGTAAAGCTTTTGTAAAATAAAGAAAACTGCTTTCTGCCGGTTTGTTTTTTTTCCGTGAACTTCGAAGCGCATTACAATTATCCGAAACATTTTGTACAGATTTTATTTTGTTTTGGCAAGTATTTAATTATTTTGTCCAGAGGAAAAACGTTGGATTATGCAACAGACATGCAACTCGTTGTCTCCATGCAGTTAATTAATAAACCATCGGTATCGGCCCTTTTCTTGCTATTTCCGATATGCCGATGGCTTTAAAATAATACAAAATCGGCCTATAAATATCGGCGGCCGATACATCGGTGCACCCCTAGTACTAACCCCTACAGAGACCAACTCTGTTCTACGTGTTAACACTACTAGACTAATCACATTGAAGGACCAGAACTAGCTGCTGTATAAAATGGTTTAAAACTCTGCAGACTGAGAGCTTTTTACACATGCAATGCTCCAGATGTTAGAAGTTCATTGCCCATCATTAGTGTCAGCACACCTAACGCCATTCCTGTATGTTCACAGGGGGCTTTGCCCTGCAGTCTTACAAGGGAGCTCAGAAACCCACCCCTATGGAAGTGATGAAAGCCCAGGCCACCCGCTTGGCCGAGGACCCCACCAACTTCAAAGCTCCCCCCAAGATGGAGATCCCAACCATGGAGGGGAAGAGACAGATGACCCGACCTCACAAACTCAAACACCGGGACATGAACGTCCTGACACCCTCTGGATTCTGAGAGAACTCCCTACATCCACCTCAGCTGTACACGTAGTGAACCCGTAGCTGGTCTACCCTTTCTCTTATTCCCTTGTGCTGTCTTGCTGTTGGGCCACTGCAGTAGTAATTGCTTTTCCCTATCACAGACTCATCCTTTTGCTAGTGTCTAAGTAAATGTTCGTCCTCAGTTGTTGCGTGAGTGCGTAGCAGCATTTTTGTTGGTGCTGTCTTTTGTTAGCCTCTTCCATGCTTTGCCTTTTAATTTTTCCTTAAAAGTGTTTCTTTAAGTTAGTATGTGTGAGAGTGTGCGTGCCTTGATGTTTTTGGATATACCGTGGTGTAATTATTCATGGCTTGACTATGAACAAAAGCAGTGTTTTTATGTGTTGGGTTTTTCATTCCATCACATAGCAAGTTAGAAAACTGTCTAGAGCAATTGTGATATATTTAGAAATTATGTTGTGATTTCCTGTGTAACATCGTCAATACACAATGGGTTCAGTGATAACTTAATTCTTTAAGTCTTTGCTGTTGTGTATTATGACGTTTAGCATCGTTGTGATACGGTTGTGTCGAGGACGGTGTGACAGATGACAAGGGCACTAAAATTTACTGAAAAATTGGCTAAAAAACTTTGGCTGAAATTTCATTTAATGTAACAGCTCTGGACAGAGAATTTCTTATATTTTTGTTACAAGTTTAAAATTGTTTCAATTTCTCAAAAGGTCAAATGTATTTGCTTTGATCTCGTTGGATCTGTTAATACATGAATGAATAAATAAATAAATGTACATAAATTTCATATTTCCTCTCGAATTTCTTTCCTGCAATTTATGGTTCACTGTTTTTGGTTATAGCACTGATAAAGTTCAAACAAATCTTATGTGGGTACATGCAAGCTATTAAACATTTAACCGTGTACAGTATTAATTTTTGTTTTATAATCTTTTAAATCTTAAATATAAAAAAGAACAGATTTTGTTTAAAATTAATGCAATATTGAACATTGTGTGTATACACTGCTTTCAATATTAAATGCATATACATAAACTACATGCATGCATTATTGTTCATATGTTTGCTGACAATACAGTTTTTCAAAAAGAAATACTTTGTTCAGCAGTATTGATCAACAATGACAGTCATTTAAACAATTTAATAGTTTTGTTTATTTTTTTGGTTTAAAATAATGAAAAATGATTCATTCAATTGATCAAAAAACATAACGTTACAAAAGATTTAAAATAAATGCTAATCTTTTGAACTTTTACACAACGTTTACACAAACATATTAAGCCGCAAAACTATTTTTAAGATCGATTATAAATGGGAACTGTATAATTGAACACCAGTAATAACTGTTAATAATTGGTCACCAAATAAGCATTTTCAGATTATTTCTGAAGGATTTTCTGACACTTGAATATGTTAGAAAGTTTCACTGAAGACAGTGAAAATTCAGCTTTACCATCAGAGGAATAAATGACATTTAAAAAAAAAAAAATGTTTCAAATTGTAATATTTCACAGTTTTACTTTAAAATGCAGCCTTGGTGAGCAGAAGAGACTTACTGGCCCCAAACTTTTGCAGGGTTGTGTGTGTGATACATTTGTACCCAGAAATGAGCTAAACCTGATAAAGTTTCCCAAAGCCTCCTTTTGGAACGTTCTTAACTGTAAAAACAGTACAATTTTTTGGTTTGTTTGTTTTGTAAAAATACAGAAAGTTTTCTGTTAGTGTTAGGTTATAGTATTTATAACTAGCTGTAGAGGTCTGTGCAATGTGCCTCTTTAGATAGGGGTGTGTGTGTGTGTGTGTGTGTGTGTGTGTGTGTGTGTTCTGGTCATGTGACATCTTCCCTCCTATGGGATTAGATCTCTGAGATTTCTCCACAAAACTCAGATTACGCGTGTGCAAAATGCACTTTTGTGCTCTCAAAATATGATCTTTTGCACACAGAATTGTGGCAGAGATCTAACCCCATAGCCTCCCTTTTGTAATACATTTGTCTGCCACTAGAAGACAGTGGCCTCCCAAAAGTGTTCTCTTTTGGTGTAGAAACTCACGTCAGATGTATCATCATAGAAATAAATACACTTCACTGGGTAAACTGAAACAGAAATTAAACTGAAATGTTTATCTTTGATGTAAATATGTGATTATCAAAACTCTTTAATGGCAGTTGATCATTTACACGAACAATGTCTTATCAAACCAACACTCTGAAACTAACATCCAACGTTTCCTTCATCCTTCCCAGTGTTTTCCCTGCGTTTCTCTGGTTCATATGCTGCTCCATTTGGCAGTCTCCTCACATCTTATGCTGCCATGGTAAACACGCTTTCCTGGAAGTCCAGCCCCCGCCACCCTCCACCCAACAGCACTCACTCTCTCTCACATAAGCTCACCTCCTCCCAAAGCCCTTTTCCAATCCCTCTGTAACGTTGTACTTTTACACGCTGACACATCGTAGGTCATTTCCTACGTTTGGCAGTCCCACTGGGATGTCTGGATTGAATATGTAGCCTGGTGGTCCACCCAGCTCCGAGTGTGAGGGCCTCTGTTGTACGTGAGTCACTGTGAGAGAGCTATGAGATCACAGTCTGACCACAACATGTGGACGTGGGTTCAGAGCTCATGGATAACTCATGGAGCTCTGTTGTGTCGTGTTCGTGTAAACTTTGATTGCATTTCTGATGTTACTCATAAAACAGCCACTGTCTGCCAGGCTGTGATTCAAGAACATCATGATTAGGATGACATTATGCTTTAAGATGAGATCAGAAAGGCTTTTTGAATTCCTTCATTATTATTAATGCCTGTGAGTGTTTTGTATGTGTGTGAGGGGGAGATGTAGCAGAAATTATGACGATCTTAATATTATTTATGAACCTATAATAACATTGGTCCAAAGATTTACCACAGTTAACTGCAGTTAATTTTGTTTAGTTGTTTCTTCTTCTTCGTTCATTTATTCATTCATCCATTCATTCACGTACGTACTTACTTATTTTTGAAATCTACTTAAACGTTTGTGGCCAAATGTGACTATTGAGATGTATTTAAAAAATAAACTTTTAAAATGAACTTAAAAACCATTTGTGGCCAAATTTTACTTTTAAGATGAAAAAAAAACCCTAGATTTTTACAAAAAAATTGTGGCAAATTTTTACTTTTGAAATGTATTTGGGGGGAAAACAAACAAACAAACAAACAAACAAAAAAAAACATTGGTGGCCAACTTTGACTTTTGAGATGTATTTAAAAAAATCTTTTGAACTGAACTTAAAAAATATTTGTGGCCAAATTTGACTTTTGAGATGTATTTTTTTTTAAATCGTTTGAAATGAACTTAAAAAATATTTGTGGCCAAATTTGACTTTTGAGATGTATTTTTTTTTAAATCGTTTGAAATGAACTTAAAAAATATTTGTGGCCAAATTTGACTTTTGAGATGTATTTAAAAAAAAAAAACTACAACTAAAAAAACTTCTGAAATTAACAAAAACATTTGTGGCCAAATTTTGACTTTTGAGATGCATTTAAAAAAAAATACTTTTGAAATGAACTAAAAAAAATCCTTTGTGGCCAAATTACAATGAAATACAATGCAATATAATGAAATGAAATATAATACAATACAATAAAATATTTTGAACAATGTCCATGATTTCACTATTTCTTATATTCTTCCCTGTTCTATCTCCTTGCACTATTCTGTAATGTTTTAAAACTTTGTATTGCTAGCACTTGTGTTATTGTCTACTTTGCTTGCTGTATTCCTCATTTGTCGCAAAAAGTTGTTTTGGATAAAAGCTTCTGCTAAATTAATGAATGAATGAATGCAAATGTACTTAATTTGTACATTTATTCTACAAGATGATGTCTGTACCAAAACTCCAATAAGGAAGCACATAAAATAAAACAGATAATACAAATAATACAGTGATAATACAGATCTTAATATATAATATATAAAACATAACATATATATATAACAAAAAATCTAAACGTTAAAACTACTAATAATAGTATCTTAATGATACTTATGGAAAAACTAGTAAAATAACTACGGTATAAGTAAAATATAGTAAAATATATATTAGTATAAATAACTTGTAATATATATTTTTTGAAGAAGACAAATATATTTCAAAATGTGAATTAAAAGTAAAAGTAAAATGCATTTAATCTAGGATTATCCTCTACAATTTCCTCCACAATAAACTACTAGTAAAATACATGTGCTCCCTTAGCTGGGAATAATTTGAGACTCAATGCCTCAGTACATTCAGTTAGTATTTGAACAATGAAAACAAAAGCTGCAGGTTTTGGGTTTGGTCATCTATGCTAATTATGTTTTATAAGATGTTTTTCTGCTATCAGGTTTATCCTTTTGCACAAGGAAGTGAGCTTTTATTAGGGGTATCTTACAGCTTAAAGGGGAGGTACAATGCTGTTTCATGCATTCAGAGTTGTTTACACTGTTAAAGAGTTGGATTCTCATGCTAAGCATGGACAAAGTTTCAAAAAACAATTTGGAGGTATGACAGAGTATTTCTGTGCCAAAAATCTTACTTCCGGGTTCGTACAAGTTTCGGAGAGTTATTTTCGATCGTGGCTCTTAATGACGTAAACGAGGGTGGAACTCCTTATATGGGCATTTCTCCCGGAAGAACGCGCCCGCGCCCGCGCACGCATCAACCAGAGCAAGAGCGAGATCGCGCCCATCAACGCGCTTCATCCGGCGGCAGCGCTGCACGGGACTTGCTCGGGAAGAATGTCTCCAATCCAAAGAAGTGTGTTTTTGGTTGTAAGGGAAAGATAACATTGTTCAGCTTCCTAAAAAACCCAGCGTTATGTAGACAGCGGATACAGTTTGTTTTTCCGGAGCAGCAACGGAGTTTCACAAGTGTATTTGTTGACGAACGTTTTATAAACAAGGCCCAGTTTGACGCTGGATTTGCACATCGTTTGATACTGAAAGATGGAGCGGTCCCAGCTATAAAATATCATGGTCATGATTCAGAACTGCAGACAGTAAGTTAAACGGCATCAAATGTCTGTTTTGTTGGCATTCGGCGCCCAAGTGCTCGTCACTCTTTAGCTCCGCCCACGGCGCGCCTCCAGGAGCTCGGCTTTTTCCAGAGAGAATCGTAAAGCTGTATCTTTCTTTTATAAATATGATAAAACTAAATACTTTTTTTGGAGATATGGAGGATACAGTACTACTCTATAGGTACTCAAGATTAACATGAGATTGGGTGAAACTGTGTGTGTTATGCCCCCTTTAATTTTCTAGTTACATATTTCCAAATGTTTTCCTCAGTTTGCATGAATTCACGTTTGCTTTCGTGAGCACCCCCTTTGATAATCAACCTGATCGACTTGTGGAAAAATGGGACTAATAGTAATTTAATGAGCGCTCAGTGTGTGCTATAATTAGAGGTGACTTGCAGCAGAAGGGCGAAATCATAATATGCATTAATGAGAGGATCTTGTGAAGTTAAATCTCTTGACGTACATTCCGATGTCACGTGGCAGACGCTCTCAGCATTGAGCCTATCAGTATGATTGGCAGTGAACAAGAAAAGTCAAATCCAAACCCAAACCCAGTGGTCCTGTACCACAGCTCTTGATTCAGTCGTTTGCACTGCAGCAGTCAAATGAAATAATGATGCCAATCCAAGTTTGTGAGCAGTCAACTATTAAATCCATGGCCGTGTTCAGGAAATACATAGAGTGGGGAAAAACTCCATTGAATGACTTTACAATCTAGCTATAAATGAACA